TTTTTTTTTTTTTTTTTTTTTTTTTTTTTTTTTTTTTTTTTTTTTTAGCTGTTTCCATTCGAATTTTGAATGTTCTGGTTGGAGGTGCCCGCGGGGCTGTCCATTCATGCCAGATGAGCGCTGTGCTCCCAAATATCCTAGAACTGGCCACTAGAGGATGCCAAATTCCCGAGGCAAGGAACGCTGCTTCACCTCCGCCCGAGTCAGGGCTAAGCCAAATGCTCCTTTTAATTAAGACAACACGAACACAGACTCGTCTGATTTTACTCATTAATAAAAGAAACGTCTATGGACACAAAGGAGACCTTCTCGCTATTTTTATGAGGAGAGCACCAGCCTTTTAAAGACAGAGACGCAGTAACAGCATTTTTAGAACATTCAGAACATTTAGAACATTTCGTGCTATAACTGAACTTATTTCTTGTTCATTTTGACTCATGCACTGTTTAGAAAAACAATACTGCTTGGTTTTATGGGATTTATTTTCTGCCTAATTCTTTCTCTTGACTCATGGTCTTCACTTCCTGAAAGACACTTTATTTGGCAGCTTTTTTTTTTTGAATGGTCTCCCTGAAAGACCCAGACATGAAATCAGAATTTTATTTTTGAGTAATTCTTTGGCTGCTGGTCATGGCTGCACTTAGAAGTGCTGCTTTTAGGAAAACCCTGTCCCAGCACTGTGCTAGACACTTGTTTTCCATATTCATAACTCCCACTCCATAGGTCTGGACCAGCTCCACTTCACAAGAGTCCTGACTAGATTATTTAGTTTCCCAACCACGGATTAAAATCACAGGATTCAACTTAGAGCTGCAAGGGCAAGTGTGTCTTGTGATCTGGCAACTGAGATAAGTCTGCTGGCCAGCTCCTAAGAGATTTCTGGCCAGGCATCCAGAAAAAAAATGAAAGCCAGGCATAATTACAGCCTATATCAATATACACAAGGGGGGGACAATGAGGTGGAGTTCATTTTTCACCTGAAATGATGTCACCACTTCCCCCAACCCCCTGAAAAGTGAAGCTGGATAAAGCACCTCGTCCTCAGACATCATCTGTCTCCAAGTAATTACCGGTTTCTAACATCAAATTGCTTTCTTTTATATAAATGAGAAAATAAACTACCAAGGAGGAGATGTTCCATTTTGGTAAAAAATATATTTAAGAACCTTCCTGAAAAATCCACCCTTGGGAATGGGAGTCAGGTAGATTTTAGCCACCCCACTGGTTACAAGCACAACTTTGTTGGGTGCTGAGACACTGGCAATTCAGACCGTGAAGGTTCAAGGGAGGAGATGATCCTCCATCCAGAATTTTTTGCTTTGCTGAATGACTCTCTGCACACACACACACACACACAGCCTCCCAAATACAAATCCCAAGCAGCTCCCAGGTGATCTCCCCGGGTTTTGGTATCTCTGCTTTGACTGAGAGAGTCCCTGGGGCTCGTGCATGGCTTTTATCAAGACCATTTCCAAGCAGATCAGCAGGACAATCCTAACCTGTTCTCCCCAGGGGGAAAAACTGGATCTTACAGTACCTCTTGCATGAAGTTCTGCGTCCTCTGAATCACAAAATCAATGTGATAGACCTTGAAGCGACTCTTGAGGTCCTGAAGGAGCTCCTGGAGGAGGTTCACCTTCAGGTAGCAGGGCTCCATTTTCACGGAGTTGAAGGGCAGGTTCATAAGCTGATCCACGTTCTGCATTCCAGTGAGGGAAGAATGTGAGGTTTCCAGGGAAAGCAAGCAGAGGTGAATTTTTAACAGAGAGTGCTAACAATCTGGCCTTAAACCAAATCCTGGAATCTTACCCTCTAGTTGCACAAACACCACTTGACTTTCTCAACAATGAACCCGAGGCGCTAACTCGCTGCCGCCTGGGAAAGCAAATCCTGCTCTCTGCCAGGTTCCAGCCAGGAGGCCCTTGTTGTAATCTAAAGGCTCCCAACACGTTGTGTGTCTTACCTCCTTGAGCTTTGTCGTGTCGCTGGTCTTCTGGAAGTCCTGGATGATGTCATTGACTTCTTTATCGAAGAGCGAGCGGACGTCCGTGAACCCCGAACTCACGGGGCCCATGAGCTCCTCAAGGATGGAGGTGAGGAAAGGCTGGATGTTTTCCATGCAGCACTTCTGGGCAGGCTCAGAGACAGTGGCTGGAGGGTCACAACAGCACAAGGGGTTGCATTTTAGAGACGCAGCGACAAAGTAACTGATCTGCTTTCACAAGGGATTGGATGGTTCCGCAGCTTTCCCCGGAGTTACACCTCCACAAAAGTGCCGAGGGTGATGGAAGGAGAGCTCACAGTTTTACGGGTGACAGAAGAAAACCTCTCTTCTCCCGCCTCACCTAAACAGCAGCAGCTGGGGGCACTGTGAGAGTGGAGGAAAGGGCAGCCCTAGGTATCACTTACCAGTTATTTATTTGTTTGTTTGCCAGCTTAAGCAACACCAAAAATGTTTTCCCTGCGTTGTAAACTCACTTGTATATTCACAGCAAAATTATGATGACTTCACATTAGTTTCAAACCACCTAGGAAGCCCTTGGGTTTAAGAGCTCTTTGGTAGCCTATGAATTTGTCACATAACCAGAACCTGGCTTTGTGGTGCATTCTTAGAAATCAGGTCAAAAACACTCCTTTTTTAGTTACCCTCATGTGACCTGTATCTTCACTACCTGAGGCTGTGGAAGCCAAAATGAAAGCAGAATGAACAACTCTAATCAGGCTACTCAAAACCTGTCAGCTCCAAGCCTGACAAGACCTGGTATTTTCACAGACACAGCGGCCAGAGGTGGTGTCACTTCCCAGCAGAGGCAGCAGAGGCTCAAAGCATTTGTTAGCTGAAAATTGGTGTCTCCAGTTGGATTTTTCAAAACACACGAGGATTTCAAAACCATCACATCTGGTCATTTAAGCAGCACAATGGGAAACTTTAAAAAGTTGCTCCAAAGCACAGCTGTTCCTCCACTAACCTTTGATTTTCCCAGCTAAGAAGTTCTTGGAGTTCAGAATCTGATCCATGTCTGAACGAATGGTTCCTTCGAGAGTTTTTGCAACTTCTCTGCATTCTTCCTTCAAGGTATTTAATCCTTCTGCCACTTGCTGCTGGACTAAGCTGTAAGTTTCCTCTACGATCTAAACCCAAATTAAATTGAGAAGCAAAGATCAGGATCAGCGCCCACAGGGAGCTGCTGTGAGAAGCAGCTGCTCTGCAAGTCTGAGTACTTACAGCAAACCAGGCCCTCTTCCTGTCATTCCTCTTCCCCTTCATTTTGGGCAGGATCATTGTCTGAAGGTTGGGCAGCAGTTCCTCCATCACGAGGTTGCTCAGGATCTGCGAGGTCGGAATGACACGTTCACACACCGCTCCTCACCTGCACCCCAGGGTCGTGCACAGGCAACCTCAGATATCCAGGGGCTGAGCTACCCCAGGCTACCAGGAGGACTGGATTTAAAACATTAGGAAGGCCTGAGGGAAGCTCCATGTGAGCATGTCACCCAAAGCAGTTTTCACTGCAAGGCTTTTGAGAGACCACGCAACAAGCGGCAGCAGATGAACCAGGATGCCTGCTAGAATTCACAGCATGCTGTTATGGAATTGCCATGTGCCAATCAGTGGGGCTAAAATGATTGGTTTCAAGAGAGAAATCTAATCAAAATCACTGAAAATTTGGTTTGCTGGCTGCTGCTCCCCCAAACTGAGCTCACTCTGGGATGCTCCCACCCTCCCAGAGACAAGTTGTTCTGAGGAGTCATCAGACAAAGGTTATTTCTGACAGGAAGATCACTGGCCGAAAATAGGGAGATAAGACTAAACTAATTTAATCTCCAGCACTTTACTGTGTGAGCATCAACTTCCCAGCTCGAACAAGAAGAGCAGGAGATCCCAAGAAAAACGGGACAGAGGACAGAAGTGGAACCCAGTAATGGGAATAATCTGTGAATCAAACGATTCTACTCTACATGATTTTTTTTAATTAACATTTGTTTCCAAAACATGTGTAACACGATCCAAAAGGCTCATTAGTTCCAACCTAATCCTGAGGCAAAAGGGATAGAATAAAGAGCTGTTGGAGTTTGTGAAAGATTTTCCAAGCAGCTGCTTTTGTCACGAAAAGACAACTGTACTGGTCTAAAACCAGTAAAACTTCTACACTGTTAAATTCATATGCATTCAAATCTCCTCCCAACGCCTCCAGATTTTTGAACAAAACCCAGGTGAAATCTGTAACCTAAGAAGGTGTTTGGTGACAAAGGTGCACCACAGCAGAAAGGCAGGAGGAAGAAAAGAGTCCAAGGGACTTCTGCACAACGAGAGTCCGTGATGGAATGCAGGAAAACTGAGGAAAAGGTATCACTGCCCCGTTTTTTGATTTTCTAAACTGACACTGAGCACTTTTATCCCTCAAGCACATTTTCACTTTGGATTCAGTGGTTGCAGAAGAGAGCCATCACCCTCTCTGATCCCAGCATCCAACTGGCAGTCTGGTCTGGCAGATGGTTCCAATCAGAAAGGAAAGGCACTGGACTGGGAATACAGATGATACCAATTTGGGGAGTAGTCCACAGGCTGGCAAGCAAGACTGCTATTCAGGGAGACCTCGGTGGGCTGAAGAAACGGGTGGACAAAAACCTCACGAAGTTCTGCGCAGGCCAGTGCCCAGTCCAGCGTATGGGATGGAACAAATCACGGAGACACAGGGCAAGCCCAGGAAAAGGCCAGCAAAATGCATCTTAAGGTGCTGCACATTTCTCACTCTGAGTAAAGGATGTGATCAGACAAGCTGTGGCTGCCCCTGGATCCCTGGAAGTGTCCAAGGCCAGGTTGGAGCAACCTGGGCTGGTGGAAGATGTCCCTGCTGATGCTGAACCTCGTGTTTTACAGCTGCTGGAGAGGGTTTGAGGCACCAACACCAGCATGGGGGAATGGTAGGAGCTTAAGAAAAGTAAGGATGGGCTCTGACTGTGCGTCAGAGCATGAACAGAAATATAACACACAGTTCTCTACTCTAATATCCCTCTGATATACCTACAACAGGCAGTACACTGTTGTCATAGCTTCATTTACTGAAGTGCTTATTTACTTGAAGTACAGCAGCGCTTCAGGTTCAGCAAACACATTTATTGGCATTCTGCAGGGGTTTTTTTACAGCGACAAATTGCAGCCTGTGGTGTTCCAAACCACTCACTTAGCTTGGATATTTGCCTAAAATAATTAGTGTGTTTGGTCCAAGCAGGCATGAGAACACGCTAAACTTACAGAATGAGTTATTGCTGGGGAGATAATAGTGGAACGAGGCTGGATGTCTTCTGATTACAGCTCTCTGGAGGTATATTGGGCTATGAGTAAGTTGTTGGCAAGCAAAGGGAAAATAAAACGTGAAATAGAAACTAGCACTATAAGAGCTCCATAACTGGAGGGAGGAGGGGAGGAGAGAAAACTCTCACTCCCTCCACAGGAAGGATGGAGCTCCTCGGAGTGAGGAATTTATTATCAGATGTTATAGCAGGAAACTTCAGTCCCTGCCATGATGGCACTGGGAAAGACACTGTTGACAGATTTTTTTCCTCTGGTTTGCACCCTTTGCAGCATTTCAGAGGTAGGCTGCTCCTAAAAGAATAATCTGGTTTCTTAAAACAAAACCCTCTCTAGCAGTTTTTTTTTTCCGTTTTCCCAAAGGGAAGCCAGATTTCATCAAGGAAAACACCCAGCAGCTGGTACTGAAGTAAACAGTTGCTGCTGAGTGCTCAGTGCTTTGGAAAAAAAGAATTATAAATCAGGACCCACATGCCTCAACTGCCCTAAAGGAGATGTGGAGTGATGCCAGAGGGATTGGTGGAGTTACCTCAGATACCATCAGTGCTTCAAAGCCACGCACTCAGGTGCCCAAATATGGACCCAGACCATTTCTGCAGAACTGAAGGACGCACATTTTTGGTGTTTAAATGTGACTGTTCCTATGCAAGACTCTGTTTCAGAAGTTTTTATCACTTTCATGTGAGTAGGAAGTATCTTAAAATCTCAGGTATTTCCACCTACGAAGTTTTCTTTTGAAAAATGCCTTTCCCCCCCTCCCCCCCCAAGAGGCTTTACAACCTTCACTATGCTCAGAGCTGCCGTATTCAAAGCCAAAAAACCCCAAACACTCCAGGAATATACCCTTTTACCTCTTTTTCATTGCCAGTTATCATTTCCCAGGTCCCGTAGTGGCCTTTCTCCTGCCGGAAGAACTGAATGGCTTCCAGGAACGCCTCGACTTCATACGTGGTCTGCTTGAGGAAATCTAGGGGAAAACAAAGAGGGACATAGATTTATTTGTCCACAAATAACCCTTGAAAAACAACCCTCTTTGTTTTTTGATCCATTCTCCCATTCCACGTGCATCCAGCAGCAATGTTTTTAAATCATTGCCTGAGCGCTTGAAGACCTTGAGCTTTCCTTAAAAACTGGTGATGGAGATGATTTTTCGTGGATGTCCAGCAGAGCAGACCTAGACAAGGTAAGCACCAGTGCTCATACCAGTTAGCACAAAAACTTCTGGCAGCATCAGTGCTGCTTTCCCTAAATATTTCAGGAATATTCAACCACAGCTCTGGAGTCGCTGGTTATTGTCCAAGGCCACTGCTGCTGGATGGTGGCAATTCCCAAAACAACGTGGTAGCCTGGGGACAAATGAGCCCCGCTGGGCAAACGAGTCTCTTTGCCTCAAAAATGTGGAAAAGCTGCCTGGAGAAATGCTTGACAAACCTGAGTTCAAAACCACCACCCAAACACCTCAGGGATTGAAGTGCTGTGTCTTCACCATGAAACGGAGCTCTCCAGGAGTGTTATTTTACAGGAAAAACAAAGCCACAAGGGTTTACTGCCCCTCTCCAAGGTTATCTACTGCCGCCTTGATCAGCTGAAGTCCTGTTGTGTTTAGGAAGAAAGGAGGGAAGAACAAGGATGTTGATTCTCTCAGAGGTAATTATGCTGCTTTAAAAGTTCCTGATACATATAAACATTTGTGATGTGAAGAGTCAGGGATTAAGTCCTCAAGCCTTGCTTGCAAACCAACATACTTTGTTTTGCCTTCCTCCTGGAGCTTCTAAAGAGAGAGCAGCTTTACAGGACCTTTGCATAAGTGCCAAAGGCAATGCAGGGATTAGACAAATTATGGGAAGCATGGAGGATTAACACTATGGCAATGCCTGAAATGTCTCCTCCTGTGTGCTTTAACAGAAACAACAGCTAGAGAAACCCACAATTAATTTCATCAGGACTTCACCCTTGAAGCTTGAAAATGACTGCTGGAAAACAGCCCTGTGGAGATTTTATGTGCGTGGGGCAACGAGGCCTCAGATCTGCTGAGAGAGAGCCCAGATGCCAGAATTTGGCCTTTCAGAGTTTTCCCCCCCGGCTGCAATGGCTGCAGGAAGGTTTGTCACACACAGAGAGGGGCACTGAACCCTCCCAGTGCCACTCTTGAGATACTGCTCTTGCTTTGCAGATATCTGAAGACCCAAAGAGATCACACAAGCTCTCCGAGCTCATGCGATGATCAAACCAGAAAAAAATCAGCCAAGAGAAATTCCAACCCTGCCTTCACTGCCATCTCTACAATTTATACAATTTTTCAAGCCAAGTCACAAACCAGGGGGCTCAAATATCGGTATTAGTTGCAAGTCAAGCTGTTCACTGCCAAGAGAACATCCTCTGACCACAGCTTTAATGAAAGCATGGAGTATTCCACCTGAAAGCACTTGAAAGCTTTTGTCCTCCCAAAGTTAAACTCTGAATATTCTGAGGAGCAGAGGGCTGGGCTTGGCTGGAGGAAGGGAGAACTGCAGCTCCCACAGCGCTCTGGTCGTGACTCACATGTTTTCCTTCTTCACAGCTGTGCTCCCTCCTAACCCAAAGGGCTCGATCTTGGACCTGCTGAGATGGGGATGTGCCAGTGCTGACAAGAATCTGCCCTCTAACATCATCAAGTTTTAAACTCCATGCTCAAGGGAGTATTTCCTCTCCGTTCTGACTGCCCCCAAACCCCCAGAGCAGTGGGAAGAAGGTGCTAAAAATCCAAGAGTGATTCATTTGAATAGTTCACGGGAAAAACATGAAGCCCTAAGTGCCATAAAATCCCAATCACGCGTTTTTTCCTATGCCAGTAAACACGGGAGACAAACACAACTGTGGCAGGCTTGCTACAAAACCAGCTCCAAGTAGAAAGGAAGCTTTATCCTACAAGGCTGCTGCTTAATTTAGGCAATTTCACTCTCACTTTCCATAGGAGGGAAAGATTGCATCACGGACAAGGCACTGAACAACCAGACCCAGCCAGCGTCGAGCCGTGCAGAAGCTGCTGGCGAGGCACATGAGACAGAGGCACATTCATGGGATGGGGCTCAAGAAAAAGGGAATTGTACCCCAGCTGGAAGGAGCTGTGCTGCACATCCTCCACCCTTCCAGCAGGGAAGAGCCAGGCCTTCCGTGTGGCACATCCAGCAGCTCACGAAGGGGCAGCAGAGCCAGGAAAACAAGGAGTAAGCTGTTGGGGCAGCCCTGCCTGCGTGACAGAGAGAGGATGGGGCGTGAGAGAGAGAAGCAGAGGCTGCAGCTGCAAAGGGGGCAGGTGGTAAAGCCCGGTGGTGTCAGGAACGATTGTTCTCCAGGAGAAAGGACGGCGCGTGCTCCCCTCTCCCGAATGCCCTCGCAGGGGCTTCCCTCCGAAGAATGGGGCACCTCTCAGGAGTGATCCATCTGTCCTGCTGTTTGGAGGGTGTGCGGCATGCTAGGGAAGCCTTGTGCTGTGGTGGTGGTAGGTCTTCCTCACCCAAATCCCACACAGATCCATGAAGTTTACTGAGTGTCGTCCTGCAAAACGCTGGTAAAGCTTTACAGGTACCCAGACCGATGCTGTGTGCTTGATGCAGGCTGCTCTGCCCTTGGAAAATCACTCAGGTGCCTCCTCCAGCTCCCAATGAATGTAACATCCACTTATTTGTGGAGATAAAAAGGAAATTCTGTTTGTTCTGTTTAATTTTAAAATAAGAAGACCCACCTAGACACTCAACATACCAAAACGTGGAGCCCAATTCCTTTTACTGTTAATAATAGTACAGGGGGGTATTGACTGTAGATAAAGTGCTTCACCAAAGTGAGCTACACCGTGGAGAGCAATCTCAGCTTTTTGGCTGACATTTCCCAAAAGGCACAGATGAACAAGTGTTAAACCAGAATCCAAAAGTCTGAGCTCACGGAGCACGGGTTTTCATTACAGCAGCGCTGACCCTGACCCAACACCCATCACGGGGTACCAGAGCTCAGAAGCAATCCACCCCGGCTTCCTCTGTTCCATGCAGTCCCTGAATCCTTCCTGCAGGTCACTGATTGCTGTGGAAGCACTTTGGCGTCCAACAAGAGATGTTTTTACAGGAGCTGATCGTGTCAAGGCTCGCAGGCCTTTCCTGGCTCTGCCTCCCAGCTCTGCTCAAATGTCTCTTCCCAACACAAGTCACTCACAACCCCATGTAAAAAGCCCACAATGTTTTAATTCCCTCCTACAGGGCACAGGAATATCCCCTCAAACCATCAAAACCAAAGGCTGGCTTTGGATGAAGAGTGAGGAAGGCAGGAGGACAGTCACTGCAAGGAGATGAAGGTGACCAAGGAGTGGAGTTTGCAGGTGTTTCACTGATGGGGAGAATGTCACTTACTATTAATTTTTGGAGCATGATAAATGAATAGAAACTGCATTTCAGTTTATGTTTTTCCTCACTTCTTCAGATGTTTGGCTCAGGTGAAGGCAGTGCCAGAACACCTCTTGTAACAACTCTTTCTTGTTGGTCACCTCATAGAGCATTTTCCTGGGACAGGAAATGTCTCTGTGCAGGTATTGGGTGAAGGGCCTTCCTTCTTGTAATGCTACAAATACACAGTAGGAGGTGGATAAAAAATATCTGGAATTTTAAGTCCAGTCTCAAAAGGCAGTGCTTCCACCCCTCATCATTTCCTCAACAGAATAGACCTCATGCTAAAAAATGCAAATTACTTTTTTTCCTATTTTCTCATCCTTCCAAGTCATCCCCCTCTCTCACCTTGGCAGCTGTTGCTTCCAAATATATTTAAATTGTTGCTTTTCCCCTGCTTTCCATTACACAAGCCCTTCAATTAAAAAAAAAAATAAAATCAATTTCTGATTTTTTTTTCTTTAAATTAGTTCTTTGCAAACAAAAGAAAAATATAACCCCCAAACCAACTAAATAGACAGGACACTGCCATCTCTTGTACTGGTACTTCAAAGATGGTGCTTACACGCTGCCAGCCATCAGAGGCTTTGGGGTGAAGGCATCAGGGAATAAGAGACATTCCTGCAGTTAGGGAATCACTGCCAACATCCCAACACCACAACTGGGGGCTGCCCAATAAATAAAACAATGAGCATGAAGAAAAATGATTTCCCTTCCTAAGAGCTCTCGTGAGCTCCCAGCGCAGTTTAAGAGCTGTTGCTTGTGAGGCATCACAGACAGCTGTAAAAAGGCCATGGCCATTGAGCCCAACCAAATAAAATTGTGGGAATATCTCTCTGCCTCCCAAAAAATGAGCAAATGGTCCCAACCCAACAGAGATGGAAGGTAGAAAAAGCAGAAAATCCACCTGCTCGAACCCGGAGAGATGAGGAGACCTCAGGAAAAGAGGTTGGCCAGGGCTTTGTAAAACAGCCACAGCACCACTGGAACATCATCTAAACCACGGATGAGCACTGCACAAACACACCTAAAGGATCACAGCATCACTTATCTCTGATGATTTCCAAGCACTTTCCAAATCAGCTACTGTATTCCTGGAGCAGGTGGGAATTTGGAGAAGAGAAGGCTCTGGGGTGACTTTTCCTGCAGCCTCAGTGCCTGAAGGAGCTACAGGAGAGTCTGGAGAGGCACTTTGGGACAAGGGCCTGGAGAGACAGGACAAGGGACAATGGCTTTAAGCTGAAGGAGAGTAGTTTTAGATGGGATATTGGGAAGGAATTGTTCCCTGGGAGGGTGGGCAGGCCCTGGCACAGGTTGCCCAGAGAAGCTGTGGCTGCCCCTGGATCCCTGGAAGTGTCCAAGGCCAGGTTGGACGGGGCTTGGAGCAGCCTGGGCTGGTGGAAGGTGTCCCTGCCCATGGCAGAGGGTGGAACTGGATGGGCTTTAAGGTCCCTTCCCACCCAAACCATTCCAGAATTCTGTGATTCTGTGATTTCCCTGCTGAACTTTGAAGCTGGAGCCTGAGCACCACCTCACACCTGCACAAATGAGTGTTCCCCCTAAAACCCATCAGGTGGTGGGCACAGGGCAGTGGCTTTTCTGCACCACCCCACGCTTGATAATACGTAGGAAAAAGAGAATCAGCCCAAGGTGAGAGAGGCAGGAAGGCTGTAATGGCAATTATGATTTTAGCACATTCATCACCTGGGGTGTTTCAGGATGAATGTCACTCCTCCAGACTGAAAATCCTCCCCACAGTGGAGGCAAGCAGGCTGGCTGGAACAGCAAGGAGCTGATGTTGTAAAGACATCCCAGAAAGAGGGAAAATAGTCTTATCTGGAGCGAAATATTCTACATTAGACAAAAAAAAAAATTCCGTATTGTGCCCTAAAAAATGTCATGAGTTTTGCAGCTCCCCACAAACCTCATCAAAGATATTTATAGTGAAATGGTTTTGAATGTTATGACAGCGTTAATATTGCTGTGGAACTTCACACAGCAGTAATATATAGACATATATATCCTTCTGTTTAGTATTTCATGGCAGCTTCTCAACCTTTACCAACACTTCAGTAAATTATTCTGAATTATAGTCCAAGAGCTGGTAAGTTCTGCACGGACTATGAACATGTGACATGGGAAAATCAGAAATAACTATGAGAAAAACAGCTATCAGATAAATGTAGAATCGAAAATGTGGACACAGAGAATGGCAACCCTAAAAGTCAGAGAGGGAGAAAAAAAATCTCACCCTGTCCCAGTTGTCTTGATGTAGCCAAGCCCCTTCTGAGCTTAAAACTACATTTTGTCTTTGTCTCTTGCCTCGTGTGTTTTTTTTTTTCTTGTACTTATTTCATGCATGTATTGCTCAAAATAACTTCTGGTGTTGTTCCTGTTGAAATTGGAGATGACAGGATATGGGTTTTGAAAGTCCCTCAGCTTCCTGTGTCAGGAGGGTGATTCTCAAGATACGGATGTGAAATCAAACCAGATGAAAGAAAATAAAATCCTGAAGTGAAACTCTGTGTCTCCCAGAACGAGCCACTTGTAGTTTCCTTCTCATCACACAGACTTCCCTCTATCCCAGCACCAAGGGGTTGGGCCTTTCCCCTTCTAGCAGCAAATACTAAGTGGAACACATGCAGGAAATGAGAGGACTTCCTAAAAAAAACCCCAAATAATTAAATAAAGGCTGAAAAGAAACTGCAGTCTGATTTTCAGGGCATACAAACACAGTGGATTAAAACCTGGAGAAGGGGAAGTATTAGGAAGCACTGTGAATATTTTGAGCCTTTCCCTCAATATTGCCATTCTGGACTGCCAGAGCATCCCCAGTGCAGGTGAGGTGGCTGTTTCAGCAGCCAATTTCCCCCCAAAATTTGAGGAGTGCAGTTCTTAACATTCCACTGAGAAAACGGGGAGTGGGAGGCAGCCAAGTAAGTCCAGGCTGTGGATGAAAGTGGAGGGATCATGGAGATAAAAAGCAGGCAAAGCAGTGAATCCCATGCTGCCATCACATCTCACCTGGGAGGAATTCCTTTCCTCCACACTCCACCTCAGCTCAAGCACAGCCTCTTTAAAACCCTGAGGAGTTTTAAAACTAACCACTACATAAAATCCTACACTGATGGAGGACGTTTGGGAAGAACAGGCTCCCTGGAAGCAGTTCCCCTCTGTCCAGCCCCCTCCTCTGAGGGTCAGGGCAACCAAGGTTGGGGTTCCTCTGCTGCTCCCTGGGCACTTGTATTTTCATTAATTAGCCCTTAATCACAGATTTAAAAGCCTTTGATCCACATATTCCGTCGCTACTAAAGGAAATCATTGTCTCCTCAAACTGCCAAGCTCCCATCAATGAGTACAAAGGACAAACACAGTAGGAGCATGGCATGAAAATGTGCCATCCCTGCATCTGAATCCCATTTCCAAGCAGTGCTCAGTGAATCCCAATGCTTTGGTTCTGACCAGGAATCCCAGAAACACAGGCTGGGCTGGTTGTTTATACCAGGGGGACTGCAAAGAGAGGGGAGAGCTGAATGCCAGCACAGAACCACACACTGAGTCACCCACAGCAGGACAGCGGGGCTGACTCTGCTTCCTGGGGGAAAAAAAGAGCGTACCCAAAAAACTCCTCCAAGTGCCTGCCTAAAGCCCAGGGAGATTCGTTCCTTTCCAGGAGGGGCAGATTACAGCAAAGACAGAAAGGCAACTTCTGCTCAGACATTACATCTGTCTCTGTTCCTGCCCTTGCCAGATCTCCCCTGGCAAAAGTGAACTCTCTTTTAGAATAAGAGATGGGGTGAGTGCTGCCTTGGCTGGTGCTGTAACTTTGTCAGATTGCTCAGACACCTTTTTTTTTTTTTTGCAAATAAAGCTCTAAAAAGTATGAATAAAGTCATGTTTTTCAGTCATGTGAGAATGAATATAAATCAATATGAAGATCTTGGAAAAAGAAGTTCACTCCCAGGGCAGAGTTCAGGTTACTTGGGGTGCTTTTCTGTGATCATTTTTCCACTTGCGGCACCTAAGTCTCCAGGAGATGATGTAACTCCAAGAAATCCAGAAAATAAGGGCTCCTGTTTCTTTGTCAGCTGTTAAAACCTTTTTCATGGTGTAACAGTAGGTCCTAATCCAGACTGTCTTTATCTATTAATCACCCTGTTGGGCAGAAATAATGAGGCAGAGAGGATGAGCCTTGAGGAAGGCACTGGGGTGTCACTAAGCATCTCCTGTCAGACAAAAACTTGACCACAGGAAAAGCTGAGAGGGATAAATCCTGGAACAGATGCATAAATGAGCAATAGCTGAGCCATATGAAATATAATAAAGTGCAGACTTGCAGGCTTTGGAGATGGAAAAGACCTGTTAGGTCATCTAAACCCAGCTTCTGCCAATTCAGGATTGGCCCCTGGAGTGATGTGCTGAACTTTAAGAAAAAAAACCCAGGCTGCCAAAAGCTCTGGCAAGCCTGTTACACTTTGCTTCAGGAGAGAAACGAAAAACCCCAATCAAAGACCTAATGAACAGGCTTCAAGTAGTGGAGTGCCAGGAAAACTTGACTGTGTCTCCACCTCTTCACCAAGCCTCGGTGAGGAGCGAAGTCCAGAGGACTTTCACCCTGAACTCACCAGAACTGAGAGCCACAGAGCCAGGCTTTGCCCTGGGGTTCCTCCAGCAGCTCCACAGAGAATATTCACCGAGTCTCAAGCTACTTGGAGGTGCCAAGTGAAGGCCTGGTCCTTTTAAACTGCTGCCTCCAGCCTGTGTTCGTCCAGCTGGGAATGTTCATCCCTGGAGCTGCTTGCTCTGGGAGGCTCTCGGAGCCAGGAGGACACTCTGTGTCACCACCTCCAGCAGGTGATGGAAAGGAGCTGGGGAGGGGCAGCACGGAGCATCAGGGTGGGGACCAGGAATCCTCTGAAGAGGCTCCTGCCACCAACCACCCCTGAGACCACACACACCTTAAGAAACCACCTAGAAACGCAGTCCTGTGTGTTTTCATCGTGGGAGTGGAGTCCTAAAGGAGACCAGAAACGCCTTTGGAAGTGGAGACAAGGGAAAAGAGCTGGCAGCTGAGAAGGATCCATGGAGGACAGTGGGAGACAGCTGTCTGAGGGAAATGGGGTGAAGCTGATGGCCAGGACACTAAAGTGACAGCTAAAAAACATCCACTGGGTGCCACTTCTGTAAGTACCAGGGGCTGTTCACACACTGCACTCACAGCTCATTTATCTACAAGCACAGGCTTTGGGCCCAAGGAGCCGAGATTGCTGGAGAAGTTTCTGAGTGTTCCCATCTCCCACCAAGGGCAGCAAGACCAGAAGAGGCTCAAAAGTGACACTAAAGGCATGGAGGAGACTGGATACCAGTGAGGGAACCAGGGCAGCTGAAAAGCAGGAAAACATTTCTTTTTCTGAAGGATCCAACTCATCCAATTTTAGAAGAGCAAGGTTTTCATAACCCTAGCAAGTCACCAGTTTAGTTGTTTTTTTTTAATTATTATTATTTTTATTTTTCTAGTCTAACATACTCAAAAAAATGAGATTTCAAACTTGTCTTTGTGCAATCAATACTGTGTCTCACACACCATTCACGGACCAGTTACAAGGTTTAATCATGGATGGGGCTTGAGCTGCCATCAAACATGTGCAGAAAGGCCAGATGTTGGATCACAAGTGATACAACACCCCAGAAATGTCCTGGGAGGCCACACTCCCTCCACACTGTACAACCTGGTCTCCTACATGGCACGTGGTGGGGTTGTTGGGGTGTCCTGTACAAGGTCATGAGACAGACTCGATGATCTTTGTGTGTCCCTCCCAACCCAGGGCATTCTGTGACTTCATGATGTGTGACTCTGGATCTGTGATGAATTTGTCAAGCTTGCAAACACAAGGGAGGGTTTGCTGTGCCATATTTAGTACACATCTCTTATAGTTTCGTATCCTCATACTGGGCCTGGATGGACTGACAGAGGGAGCAGTCCCGCTGTTCTCCACCCAAGCTCGCTTCACTGCACCCCAAATCCCGCCTGACTTCACTCCCAGCAAAGCAAGAAGCAGAGGCTGTGCTGATTCATTCCCCAGGGGGGCACTCACCGTGGTTGGAGTGTCTCACACAGTCCCCCAGCACGGCGCTGAACTCCCTCTGAGCTCCGGGCTCCGGGAAGCAGAAGTAGCTGTGCCGGGCAAAGGGCTGCCACAGGTACACCGGGAACTCCTTCGGGAGAGGGACAAAGGCTGGAGACGCCTCCTTCTCGCTCGACCCTGCACAAAAACACACCTCTGTTTGAAAGCTGCGGGTCTCTTGGGGTGGTTGGTTCTTTTCTAGACTTGGCGGCCTCTCGCTTTGTGCCCAGGGGTGGCCCAAAACTGCGCAGTCCTGGTCAAATGTCAGAATTTCACCGGATTGCAGCTGCTGGGGAAACAGTTTTCCTGGCAAGTAAAGGAAGCTAGTGTGCACAGCTCTGGTGTCTGCCACTGAGAGACCACAGAGGAGCACATGGACTTCCACATGGAAACAAACTGCATTAAACCATGTGGGAACAGCAGCGCTTCCCTTGGCTCCGGGGCTTCCAAACACACCTGCACCTAAGAACTGTCCCTTTGAGCCCTTGCAGGTGAAGCAAAGAAAGCACCAGATACCTCCAGTTCCCATGCCCTGGGAAAGGGAGTAAGGGGGCACCTCCCAACAGTCATAACTTTAAATAGGATGAGACAGGGCTTAGAAAATTAATCCTCGTCTTCAAGTGACCCTTATCCCTTTCAGTACGTGGCATTCCATTTTCCAAATCTGACTCTGCCACATGAGATCTGCTCCCTGAAAGCCTGAATTTCCTCCGTCTTTGTGCAGTGGGGGCAGGCAGGACCACAGCAGTTCCCATCCCAGAAACAACAAACTCAGCAGCAGCAGCAGCAGCAACCTTCCTGCCCCCTCTGTGGGACTCATTATCAGCTGTGAGTCAACACAGGCAGCTGGCATCTAAAAATGGAAACAAATAAACCAGGAATATTAACAAAGCCCGGGAACAATGGTGGTGTGGTTCCTGCCCTGCTTCTGCACAGTTTCCATGGCTTTGTGCCGGGGTGATGGGAGGAAAGGGAGCCTGAAATTCTCTGATTGTCAGCTGAGAGCACCTTCTGTGCTCATCCATCCTGGAGCTGTTCTCTGACTTGGGAAGAGGGCTGTGGGCATCTTCTGCCGCCCTGTTTTAATGTGGAGCCTGAAAGCCTTCCCAGAAGAGGGAACAGAGTAAGGAACAGGGCCCAGGTTTTGGCAGTTCAGGGCTTACCCACAGGATCTGGAAAATGTTTATCAGACAGCAAATTGTAATCTTCTTCTGAAGTCAGCACTTTGCCTCCTGCAAGAACAATGTGATGTTTTGGGCTGGCTCCTTTCTGGTATGCCTGGAAAACCAAGAAAGAGGGAGTATCATGAAACAGAGATTTAAGCAGAGGGAAAACATAAAATACACAACTCATCGACAAAGCCAGGAGTTGTTCTCGATGATCCTTGTGGGTCCCTTCCAAGTCAGGATATTCTATGATTTTAATGCATGGGGGTATTCCCAAGAGGGAAAAATCTTTTTGTCAGGCTGAATTTTGGACATGTTCCCTAGGCATGTCAAATCTAAAATACAGTGAAATATAAAAAAACATGTTTGAAAATACCCTCTTAGTGCTCATCTGCTGTGGGGAAGAGTCAGGGATGGAAGGGAGGGAAAAAGGATAGGAAAGAACATCCGGGGAAGAAGCACTTACCTCCTTGGTCTCAAAGCAATCCACAGTGTAGTCATTTCTGACAACGACGTATCTGTCCTTCCACTTCTTCAGATCCTCCACGAAATGCAGCAGCTCCGCCTCGTATAAGACCGTCCCCGCTTCCCCTGGGGGCTGCAAAGACACTCTGTGAGCTCTGAGATTGCTCTGGACCACTGGCCAGATGGAGGTTTTTAGTCCTACATTTCCAGAAGGCTGCTGAGAGGGCTCTGGGGTCTTCAAATTCACTTTGGAGCCATAAAAATCCCTCTGATTTGGACAGATGCTTCACGCACAAGCAAATTCTTGTAGCCTGAGCTGAGGAGGCAGCAGAAGAGCTCTGCCTTCCAAAAATACTGCCAGATTCCTGAGACAGAGGTGTGATTCTTTCAGCTGGCATGCTGAATGCGAGACCACAGAATCCTGGAATGGTTTGGGTGGAAAGGGACCTAAAAATCACCTCGTTCCAACCACCCCCTGCAAGATGACCTGTAGTTCACAAACTCCCATTTTTCACCATGTCCTAAAAACATTTCCTTGATGCAACAGAGAGTTTTATTATAAAATAGTAAGTTGTTTCTCATTTCTTTGCAGCACTTTTGCATCTGTGCTCTAGTAACTGATACACTTCTTCCTGAAAGACACAGCTCTTCTATCATCCCGCCTCTTCCATTATCCCACCTCAGTGATTTACCCGACTCCTTTCCAAAGCACTGGAAATTCGTGATTTCCCATATGGCCAGAAAATTCAGATTTTTGTATCTTCTTAACATTGAAGGCTGCATTTTCCTCTAATAAAGAGACTTTTGTCTGTCTTTTTGTCTCTCCTCTAATAAAAAACCAGCTTCCTGTAGCTCATTCCACAGAGGGAATCATTGCCCTCTTCTTCGTGGAACCCCGAGCCATGGATGAAAGGATGAATTATGTTTCCTACAAAAATCTCTTCCCTGAATGTGTGATCTCTGTCCCTAGATTTTGCAGAACCCTACAATCAGCAGGAAGCAAATAGTTTTGTCCAAGTGGCCAGCCCTCTGTACCAGAAACTTGTGTCACAGTTTTCCTCGCACTGGAATAAAACAACCAAACAGGACCAAAGCAGAGATGAACTTTCGAAGGTGAAAACTTGAAACCTGCAACCAAACATAACTTTCCCACCTCAAACCTCCACTCCAAACATCTCTCTGTGCAAACTACTGTGTAAACCTGAGTTACAGACAAGAAAATACGTGTGTAAAATGCCACAGATGCACGTTGATTATGTTTTCAGCTACCCAACATGAGAAGCTGAAAGAACACTGTGCTTGTCTACGTGGAAACTTTTAGATAACTTTAAAAATGTGCCCTGGGTTGATTTTTAGAAGCTTTGAGTAGCTGCGCCACCTCTTCACTCTTAACAGAGAAGAACAAGAGAGAAGAAGAGAGAAGAACAAGAAAGCCCAGAGCGGGCAGTGCCCGATAAACTCCCAGCTCCCAACTTCTAAATGTGTGATTTAGATAGTTAACATGTTGATTATTCCACGCAGGAGAGCTCTCCTACCTTGGTTTTCAGGAAGCAGGACTGGGAACGCTGGTGCTGCTCCAGCTCCTCCTGCACGTGCCTGCAGAAGGCCACGGCGTACTGGCGTCGGTAGTGGGGGCTGAAGTTTTTGATGATGGCCTCTGTTTTTCCTGGAGCAGAAACAGAGATTTAAGTGTATTTCAGGTATGTGGCTTCACAAATTGAAGTGCAAAACCAAAGCACATATCCCCAGAGGCCAAAAATTCTTCTCTTTGGGAAAGAGAAGCCTCGGCGTGACCCAATTGTGGCCTCCCGGTACCTGAAGGGGCTACAAGAAAGGTGGAGGGACTCTGGGCAAGGGGGAATGGCTTCCCACTGCCAGAGGGCAGGGTTGGATGGGATATTTGGGAAGAAATTCCTCCCTGTGAGGGTGGGCAGGCCCTGGCAAAGGTTGCCCAGAGAAGCTGTGGCTGCCCCTGGATCCCTGGAAGTGTCCAAGGCCAGGTTGGACGGGGCTTGGAGCACCCTGGGACAGTGGAAGGTGTCCCTGCCAATGGCAGGGGGTGGCACTGGATGAGCTTTAAAGTCCCTTCCAATCCAAACCATTCCATGAAAATCCTGCCCAAGCGTAGCAAGGACCTCTTGCTGCACAGATCAGGAAAACCTTGGAGATACATTCAGAGGGAATTTGTCCAGAAGAACACTGGGTGTGAGACACTGTTTTCCTTCTAAGAGTGAGCAAAACATACCCCAAATCCATTTCTCCAAGGAAAGATGCCTCTCCCTGGGACACGTTGCCAACAGAGCCTTGGGGTTCAAGGGCTGAAAGGGTTTTCAAAGCAAACCAATAATACTGGCTAATGTTCAGACATATTAGCCACTTTTATCACTTAGTGAGATTTTAAAGCTGACTCAAAGCCCTGCAGAGGATTTTTCTAGGCTTGGGTGCTGCAGTCTGGTCTTTGTTTTAATGTAAACAGCTCCTCAGTCGGGCTGCATTAAACACTAACCTTGTATTGTCTCGCTATAATCAAGGTCTCATCAGTAGCAGCAACAGCAATAAACACACTGGCAGTCTCATTTCTGAGAATCTTAAAAACAATTTGCAAGTAATTAACTCATTAACGCTCCCAAAGAAATAATGACGCTTTGCAGACAGGGAAGATGAAACTATTAGTTAAAGGCATGTGCATATATGAGACTCAGAAGAATCTGTGGCAATGCAAACACCACCTGGGCTATGATCTAGAGAGCATCCCAAACATCCCTGATATCAGAGAGATCCTCTTCTTCTTGGCATTAAGGAGCTCCATGCCAAAGGGCTTTTTCTGAGCATACAACAGACAACTCTCATTTCACATCTCAAGCAGTTCTGGTGCTTTCAAACTTTCATTTTGTTCCTCTTGAAGAAAAAAATACCAGATTCTCTGTATGAGACCAAAAAAACGGGTAGTTCCCAAAATAAGGTTCCATGAGGTCTCTCTAAACCAGGAATGGCACTCAAGGGCCAAAGAGGGGAACTGTGACCTCCAGAGTTCTGGAAAAGCTGAACCACCTGCATCCTACAATGATTTATATTCCCCTTACTGATAAACTCCTCCCAGCACTGCCACCAGAAGGGATTCACTGAGAGTTTCCATGAGATTTCTGTGTTTTACACCCTGGGCTGTGGGTCTGCAGCAGCTCCAATGAGATCAGGGAGAGCTCTTGACAGATTTGCAGTTTCAAGCACAGTCCTTCTAAATTAACCACGCAAAACTTCCTGTATTACTGCTGGTTTGACTGCCATTTCTCACTAAAAAAAAAAAAAAAAAGCCAGCAGAGTTCTCAGAACTTTTTTTCATCTTGAATAATTTTAAGTATGGTTAAAAAAAAGCGGAAAAACCATGGTTCATACCATGGAAGTTAGGGAAGTTTGTCACAGATTTAGTGGTGGGACAGCACAGGGTGACAGTCTGGACTCCAAGCCTTCAGTTTTAAGACAGACTTTCAGAGACCTCCTGATTACAGGATGTGCTTGGGTATAATAGTAGGATATGGTGCTACTGGAGCAGAAAATCCCAGCCCTTTAAAAACCAGCCTGCTCTGGGCAGAGGCATAAACTTCTTCTCCAAATAAGGACAAAGCTTCCCAAAACCTTCTTTAGAGCATTTTTTTTTTCCCCTCTGGTCCCAGCCAGCAGTAGGATGTTGTTGGCCCCGGCCCTGGTGGGGTTTCCTGCTCAGGGTTTGCCCCTATTTTCCACCGTGGCTTTTTCTTTTCCAGCTTGTAGTGGCCTCTTAATCTGTTACAGAGGGCCCTGGGACACTGGACCTCATTTGACTACTGCCTGCATCCTGTAGTAAAAATTTGTAGAGGAAATGGGACAAAGAACAGAATTCTGGTGTTGGGAAAAAGCTTCCAACAATCGCAGGAAATATCTGTAATTTTTGCAAAAGTCTTTCAATTGTGGCTAAATGGCCTCAGAAGTGTGAGCCTTCACTGTCAACATTGCTTAGATCAGCTTGAGGGACAATGACTGAAGAGAAAGGAACTATGCAATTCATAATATATATGTGAGATACATGACACTGATGGCATTTTTATGTGCAGACTCTGTTTGCAATCAACCGAAACATGAATTGAGGAGCAAACGTTTCAGGCCTTTTCTCCCGGTCTTTGCATACTTGTTGCAAAGAATTTCTGCATTAAAAATACTCCTCCCTCTTAAAATTAGAAGAAAAGTTTATTTAAAGAGACTGTGAGTGGCACCGCATGAGGACCTGGCTCGACAGGAATCTCAGCACTACCTGGGGGTGGGAAGAGAAGTGGATGGACCCTTGAGCCATTGTTCACCCACGGATCTTTAAACTCTTTTGGTTTACAGAAGATAAAAATACACTATCTGAAAATAAACACGATGGAAACAGTCATGAGTAACAGAAACTCTTCCCATGAAAATGACAACACGGGGCAACTAAGAGATAAAATACTCCAGGGCAGTTGAAAAATGAGTTCCCCTGATTCTTTTCCCAATTTAGTGTGGCTCGCTCAGTCAGAGCTGTTTATGTGGAGCGAGGCCAACTTTCCCACTCGGTCGGTCTGGCAACGGCACAGCTCCAGCCTGTACAACTGGGATGTGAATCCCAGCAGCTGGGATGTTTATCCCAGGGGAATGCAGGGCTTGGTCAGCTCCAGGAGAAGCCTCCATGCAACCTCCTGATCCTGGGCAGGGCTGGGAGTTGGACTCAGTCGTCCCTGTGCTTCCCTTCCAACCCGGGGTATCCTGCAATTCCACGAACCAAAGTCACCACCAGGGAAGATAATAGTGGTGGAGGTGGAAGGAATTCTGTCAAATTATTGTGCTGAGGGGTCCATTCCCCCTTTGTTGAGAGTTTAGAGCCTGCTCCAGAACCAACCTTGCTGATGCTTCACGACACATCCCCTGTTCTGCAGCACAAGTTACGATACATCTTTTGAGGCTTAAAAGCAAATGTCACTGTGCTGAGAAACAAGAAACAGCTACCACATTGTCCCACTGGAAATGAGTAATCATCCCCCAAAATGGATTCCTCTTGCTTTCCCACTGCCTTTGACCTTCTTAACTGTGTGACACCCTGCTGGACACTTGTATGGAACTCCCAAGCCCCCCAGCATGGCCTCAAATACTCGACTTTCTAATGTGGGTTTCCCTGCTTTTACTGAAATAAACTGAAATACAACTTTAAAAAGCAAGGGCAGCCTTTGGCAAGCACTCTCAGGAATTCCTGCTGGTCTTTCCACTGGCTTCCACCCTGGTGGCACAGCCACGTGCAGCCGGGAGAGGCTGCCCTGCCACACTTTGTTGCTCTCAACAACATGTTGCCAAGTGGCCAGGAGAGAGACAGGTCAGGAAAATTCAGAAAAAAAGGCCAGAAAACAACAATGTCTTGGCTGGCACAGAGCAGAGGGACTGCTCACGCTCACCACACCCGAGCCATGTGAAAGTTAAGGATGGAAAGAAGCAAGGACTTGCCACAAAAGTTATTATTTCACTTAAATATTGGTGTTTGCTAGTAAACTTTGCTTCCAAGAGCAGCAAGATGATCAAGACCCTTCCTCCTCAAAGCACAGTTGCACTTTTTGGGTTTTCAAAAGGGCACCATGACCAGTGATACAAATCTCTTTGGAGGGCTGGGGGATATATATTCTTAAACTATTTATGCCCCTTGGAAAACACACTTTGTGCCCCAGGGGACATGAGCTGTAAAAAGGTAGGTTATTTGCCATGTTGAAGCAAATCCTGGACAAAATAAAACCTCGAAGAAATAAGCATTGTGTGTGCTGAGTGTCAGAGCATCCAGCACTTCCAGCAAGTGAAGTGGTGAGACAGAGCAGGAACAAATCACTTTGTTTTCTTCCACCAAGCCACAAGCAAATTTTTCAGAAATCAATGTAAAATGATCAGCTTCCCCAGCCAGGATGGAACCCACAACTGGGGACGTGTTTTAAGTGATAAACTCTAAACGTTACTGCGTGCCTTGATGTTATACAGCAAATTCAGTACTGAGAGCTTAGAAATTACTACTCATCAATCCTCCTATCCACATCCACAATCTAATTCTCATGACCCTTCAAGGCAGCAGCAAAATGAGTTAACAAACTGATTTCAGTGTTCAGCTCACGGGCCAGTTTCATCCCAAGTCCAAGTCCAACACAACCTTTGATCGAGGGAAACACCTCAGATTGCAGATGCTCCACCTGAGCCCTGTGGAAGCAATTCCCTTTGGCATATCCTGACAGTGCCCACCACCTCCCAGTGCTCTGGGGATAGTGCACCAGGAACTAACAGCAGTTGGTTCCCTCTTTCCTACAGTGGAGTATTTACAATACCACCCAGGAACTGTTTAAAAGTAAAGTGCTCCCAGAGTTTACCTCCATATCCAGGGAGGCAATACAATCTACTCTTTTTGCTGTTGGAAGCAGAGCTCAGTTTGATCTTTATTTATAGAAAAGCATTTCGATTATTTGTGAGTCAGGACTCCATACCTGTTCTGACAAAAAGGGAGGACAGGCACAAATCCCAGGCTCTGCTCACCTCTCCACAGGTTTGTTTGTGCTCAGTCAAGCCAAGTGGAACCACCCCTTTCTGTTGCCCAGAAAGAAATGTGTGTTTTGCACCTGATAAAATATTCTGCTCTTATTAAAAACT